GACTCGCCATTGGTGGCGGCTGGAATGAGGTGGCTGTCGAGCACTTCGAGGATGTCGCCGCAGATCTCGCGCAGCTCCTTCTCCACCTGAAAGCGGTAGTCCTTGATCAGCTGGACGCGACTCTCCGCGCCCTTAAGCTCTTCCTTTTGTTCAATGGAGGTGATGATGCGCCAGGAGGCTCGGCGGGCGCCGATGACGTTCTTGTAGGCGACCGAGAGCAGGTTGCGCTCCTCCACCGTCAGGTCGCCGTCCACCATGGCCACCTTCTTCATCGAGCTGACCATCTCTGCAAACGCGGGGGGAAATAGAGAAACAAGAGATTAGAATTCCATTTCATCACTATCTCACCACCACCACCTCAACTTACCGTCATATCGTTCCGCCTGCTCGGCCAGCTTGGCGTTGTAGACGTTATCATCGCGGGTGGGCGCGCTAGTCGGCTGTGGCTGATCAGACATCGTGATCGAAGCGAGTTGATGGGTGCGAGCGATTTAGAATCGAGAAGCGAGAAGTGTGAGTGTCGGGTCGGCGTGTGTTTCAGAATCAGAGAAGAGGACTGCTGTCTTCTGGCGTCGGTGATGATGGTGATGGTGATGCCGATGCTGCTGCTGGTGGTGGTGGTGTTGCTCACTGAGGGAAAGGCAGAGATCGCGAGGCAAAGTGAGAGAGAGAGAGAGAGAGTGAGTGATAGAAAGGCAGGCAACGGGATTCGGTGTGCTGGTGGTGGTGCTGGCGAAGGCAGCGGCTGACAGACGGTAGCGAGCAGCAGCGGCGACGGCAGTGAATCGGCAAGAGTCACTCACTGAGAGAAAGAGAGAAAGAGAAATCAAGCTTCACTTGAGTGTTATAAGCAGCGGCGCTGGCAGCGTCGGGGAGCATGCGCCAAAGTGGCAGTCGCNGCGAGCAGCAGCGGCGACGGCAGTGAATTGGCAAGAGTCACTCACTGAGAGAAAGAGAGAAAGAGAAATCAAGCTTCACTTGAGTGTTATAAGCAGCGGCGCTGGCAGCGTCGGGGAGCATGCGCCAAAGTGGCAGTCGCCGCCGTCGCTGCACTGGCGCACTTGCTATACCAAAAAAAATGCCTGGCGCACCAGCAACGGCGNGCGAGCAGCAGCGGCGACGGCAGTGAATTGGCAAGAGTCACTCACTGAGAGAAAGAGAGAAAGAGAAATCAAGCTTCACTTGAGTGTTATAAGCAGCGGCGCTGGCAGCGTCGGGGAGCATGCGCCAAAGTGGCAGTCGCCGCCGCCGCCGTCGCTGCACTGGCGCACTTGCTATACCAAAAAAATGCCTGGCGCACCAGCAACGGCGGCGCCTGTCCTGTTCTACTGTGTCGGATGCCAATGAGAAGGAAGGTGTGCTCTACTGCTGCCACTACAACTCTGGTGAGTCACCGAAGATGAGATGAACCAGAAACGACCACCACGACCACGACCACTCTCTGCTGAACAGTTGTTGCCCCCGACGATGCAGCCCTGCTACTAGGCCACTAGCCTGTGGCGCCCTGGTGGACACTCACTTCCAACTTGGCCTGACACATCAGTTGGATACATCGTTGGGAGCCACCTCTGCGGCCAGCAACAGCAGCTGCTGCAATTGCCGTTGCTGTTGCTGTTGCTGCCGTCGTTGCCGATAGCACCGCGTGACCACTGAGAGTGAGTGAGTCTGCCTGAGCTGGCGCCCTGGTGCCTTCTCTCTCTTTCTCTTTCTATTTCTCTCCTCCAACCCAACTACATGACATCGTCGGCTTCGACACACAGGCATCACTGAGAGAGAGAGAGAGAGCGTGAGTGAGAGAACAGAATCCAAGCAGAGCCTGAGCTGAGCTGGGGCGAGCGTTTATTGTGCGGGAAGATATGTGAGTTTGGTAGGGAGGGAGGGCGGAAGGGAGAAAGGAAGAGATCAAAACAAGATAGATAGAGTGTGATAGATGCGCGATATGTTTACGTTTTGGGCTGTTGTTGTTGTTGTGGTGCTGGTGGTGGTGATGCTGGTGATTGTGCTGGTGGCACTTGTTTGCTTCACCAGCCCACGATAAAAGGTTTCGATTGTCTGCTGC